TTAAGAGGGGCCCAGGCTCCAGTGGTCAGAGACTCCCAGCCCCACCACACCACACCCCTGTGCCCCACACACCCAGAAGGCCTGCCCTTCCTGTCGCCAGCAGGGCTGCCCCATGACTGACTGCTCACCCTGCGCACTCACACACGTATATGCACATGTATGCACATGTACGCACATGTATGCACATGTATGCATCGCTCTGACGATGCATAAGCATTCCCTTTATGCCTGTGGGGCACAGCATGAACCCTCCTTACGGTGTAGAATGAACGCTACCCCAGCCCTGTCCCCACCCCCAGCCCTGAGCCACCCCGTTCTCCTTAAAGCATTACGTAAACCCCCCAGAAAAGAAGTCGCTGCTCTACAAGCAAATACATTTTTGTGTTTGAAGCAAAAAGCACTTGTGCACAAGCGGCTGCCGATCACGCACCCCGTGCTGCACCTCGCTTTTCTTCACTTAGCAGTGGTTCTCAGAAAGGGTTCCTGAGGCCACGCTGGAGGATTCTGTTGTCAGGAGGTGCAGCCATTTCTCTAGCCAGCGCCGCCCTGACGGGCATGCGGGGGGCTTCTCACTCCTGCTGCTGCAGAGCGGAGAGCGCCTGTGACACGCTTGCACGGGTGCCTCGGAGGAAGGTGAATTCCTTGCAGGCTGGGCGGGTTGGGGGAGGGGTGCAATTGCCAAATTGCCCCTATGGATGTGGTACCAGTGAGCGTCCCCCCGAGCTGTGTGGGAGCCCGCCCGGGCCTCCAGGGGCGGGCCAGCCCGGGTATTGTCACGCTTTCGGGTCTTGGCGAAAGCGGTGGGAAAAGCAGGTGTCTTCGGTGGGTTTCCGTCTGCCTTTGGCTTATCGGGAGGCGCAGCCCCCCTGTACATTTTGGAGTTATTTGTAATTCCTTTCTGGGAACTGTTCATATCCTTTGCCCATTTTTCTGTTGGTGTGTTTATCTCTTTCTTATTGATTTATGGGCCTATTTTTTTATGCCAGGAAAACGAGCTCTTTGTCCATGATAAAAGTTGCAAATATTTCCCCCCAGTTTGTCATTGTGTTGCTTCTTTTTGTTTATGGGTCTTCCCCCCACACACCCCCCTCCCCCCATGCACAATTTTTATGTAGTTGAAGGCATCAATCTGTTTTACGACTTTCTGGAGTTTGTGTAGTACTTAGAAAGTGCTTGGCGAATCCTTCGCTTTGCCAAGATTATGTATTTTTAAGCCCCTGTGATTTTTTTTCCAGCTCTTTTAGAATTTATTTTTCATGTTTAAAACATTGATCCATCTAGCGTTTATTTTGAGGTGAAGTGTGAGGAAGAGATGCAACGTTTTTTTTCCCCTCCCAAATGGCTCTTTAGCTGTTCCAGGGCCATTTGTTGAATGATCGAACTTTCCCCCGCGGACTTGAAATCCTACACTCATCTAGGAGATCACGCCATATGGACGGGAGTCTGTTTCTAGACTTTTCAGTCCGTTGCTTCCTCCATCTACTTGTACACGAACACACTGTTTTAATTATTGCAGCTTTAGAATATGGTTCCGTACCTGTACTGGGGCCCCCTGCTTACCATTCCTTTTCAGAGTTTTCTTGGCTGTTCCTTTCAGTTTGCTTTTTGTTTTTCTTTTCCAACGTGAACTTCAGAATCGCTTTGTCCAGTTGAAAGTCCAGCCTATGTGTGTTTCCAACCTGAGGACACGTGGAAGAGAATGAGAGCTGTGGCGCGTTGATTCTTTCCACCCACGATCCTCCTCCATCCTCAGGGACCCCGTCCCACCGCGGTGGCGGCGAGTAGGGCGGCTGTGAGCCCCTGCACAGGTCTACACTGCACAACCCAGGACTCAGGCCAAGAGGAGCTGGACCCGCCAACAGGGTCCGAGCCCCTCTCAGGGGCAGTCTGTCCATCGGCATGTCCGACCGATAGTAATAGTGGCCACCGGTGCCAGGCACTTCTCTGTGCACTTTGTTAATTGCTTACTCCTCACAGCAGTTTACAACTAAGGGAACTGAGGTGCAAAAAGGTTAAGAAACGTGTCCAAGGTCAACAGTCTGCGCTACCCATCTGCGCATTCCTGGCGCAGAAATCTGTTCCTGCCCGTAAACACACACGCACACATGCCCAAACATACACACGGACATACATATACAGGCACACAGACATACACACAGACGTAGCTATACAGCAGTCACAGATGCAGAAGAGAAGTTGACTCTCTTCCTCACACTTTACCTCAAAATAAATGCTACATGGTACACACCGGTGCACACAGATGCAAACATGCTTACATGCATGCACAGATGCACACAGACACACACCTACACACACCGCTATGCCTACCCGTGTGCTCTTACCATCAGTGTCTCCCCTGCTGCACACACCCTCCCAGTCCCCCCGCCGTCTCCTGCTTTGGGGCAAGGGGGCCCATCAAGGGGAACCAGCTGCCTGACTCCCCACCAGAGCTCTCATTCATTCCTGTGTAGGGCCTCCCTCCCGTCCCTGCACCCTGATGGCAAGGGGCCCTGCGGGGAGGCGGGGGGTGGGGAGAGGAGCCTTGCCTCTCTCTGTGCCACCTTGTGAGGATGAGGGATGCTGCGCGCCCCGTAGGGTCTCAGGAAGGCCTATCCACACTTCTCTCCCTCTTCGCCGCCTCATCGTCTCTGCAGCCGCAGGAATCAACCCGTCCAAGCAAAAGCCATTCGGCTGCAGGCTGGCACCCCCGGGAGAGCCAGAGGAGCGAACTGGCAAACGCAGAGCTGGGAGCAAATTGCTCAGCGAGCGGTTGACAGAGGCCAGGGGGTCTGGGTGCCGAGCGCGGGTGTGCTTGTGTGCGTGCAAGAACACACCACACACACTCGCGCGCACACCCCGACTTGTGCTGGGTCTGAGTCACCCCACATCCAAGGGTCTGAATCACTCTGGGGCTGGGAATGTTAGTGTTTTAAAACAAACGAGTGATGACAGGAACTAACAGAGGGTTTTTAAAAACGCGATTCCAAGGGCTCTTGAAAGCTGCTGGAGAATATGAATGAGCCTTTGAAGTGAGAATGTGCCCATTTGTTAAACGGAGAGCAGAGCAGAGCTGGAGGCTTCCACAGCAGGCAGGCGGGCAGAGAATCGTGTGCGTGTATGTGCGCCCCGGTGCATGTGTGCGTGTGCATGTGTGTGCGTGTGTGCGTGTGTGTGTGTGTGTGTGTGTTTTCTGGGCAAATGCATGCCTGTCTGCCTCTCCACAGAGGTGGGCTGGGACCCCAGAAGCCAGGGACCAGGGGATGCTGCCACTGCCCTGAGTACACGCACCTTTCCAATGGCTCGCAAAGCCATGTGCTGACATGACCGCTGTTAGAGGGACGGAGAGATGTGCGTGTAAGCAGCATCGAATCAATCCGAGGCTGAAGCGTCAGCGGTCACGCGGAGACCGTGGTCCAGGTGGCCTTCTGGTGGGCCTGCACTTTCTCCTCCAGCCGCCTTTGGTCCTCCCGGTCTGCCTCCCGTGGCCCCCACAGTGAGGGTCCGCAGCACGGATGGGGCTCAAGGGAGACTCCCCCAAACCCTCGCAAGCTACACACTCATAAGCTTGAGGCCTTGGGCTTGGGGTGGGGGTGCTAGGCAGCCTGGACCCCAAACATGCTTGATGGTTTCACTTGAGTCCAGAGTGAGGCCTTGACACAAATCCTGGGCTTGCTGACCGTGGGCGCCGATGCTGGTTGACTCTGAGGGTGGGAGGATGGACTTGAGGTCCAGGGCTCCGGGCCCCACTGATGCTCCCAGGGGTCAGCCTACCATGGGGAGGGCCCAGCTTCTCCACGCCCAACGGGCTGACCAGCCTCTCCCAGCGGCAAGTCGCTTTACTCCCTCCAGCCTTTGAGTCACCTGCTCCCTGCCATTGTCTTCCGTTGCTTGAGCCCATTTCTTAGGCAAAAAAAAAAAAAGCATCTTACGGTTTCTACCCTCTGAGCTCACTGAGAAGAGTCAGTTCCAGGCCAGGGCGTGCCTGGGGCACCAGCCGACGCTGCATGGCAGCCCCTCCCTGACAGGGACCTCACACGTTTGTTTTGGGGAAAGAAGTGAACATTTGCAGAGCATCTACTCCAGCATTTTCAGTTATTATTTCCTTTCATCCTTACGGCCTCCAGGTGCCTGTTCTCTCCTTGTGCCTCGTGATGGAGAAACTGAGACTCAGAAAAGTGAATATGTACTTGTCCACGCCCAGCAGATGATGGGAGGGTGAGCGCAGGCAGGGTGTGGATGCTGGGGCCATCCACCGTTGGCCTGGAGGACCGGACGCCCAAGGCCCACCCTGCCAGCAGCTTCCTGTCTGGCTCTGAGTGACGGGGAAGGTGCTGGGCTCGGTCTGGCTCGCCTGCACCTGCGCAGGTTTCTAATCCGTGCCTGAGAGGAGGGTTATGATCCTGTCTGGTCGTGGGGTTGCGTGCGGAGTACATGAGCATCGTTAAAGCATCTCGAACAGCCCAGAACCTAGCGGGCGCTTTCGTCCTTGTTGGTCCAGATGTTGGCTTCTCCCCCAGCCCCTCCCCATCCCCAAAGGGCAGGCGGGCTCAGTGATGGGCATGGAGGCCCTCCCCTGCCCCCATCTCTCCCTGTCCTTTTGTCAACCCCTTGCCTATGTCACTGCCTCTCCCACTGGCCAGGAGGGCAGGAAGGCCTCAGTGGTCCCCTGGCGTCCGGGGCCTGGAGTGTACTGTGTTCTTTGAGGGGAGCCGTGGGGGGCTCATGCGTGGCCGGGCTGACCGAGTCAGGTCGGGAGGTGAGCGTGACTGCAGAGAGGGATAGCAGTCCCCAGGCCCACACCCGCAGCCCGGGTGGCAGCGCTTCCTCTGTCCAGGGAGCTGACCTGGCATACAAATGCGGAGGTCAGGGCAGGTGGGCACAGGGTCAGGGATGGGAGGATCGAGCAGCCTGGCAGTGGAGGGGGTCCCCCGGGTGGGCCCAACCCTGGATTCCCCTGAAGTCAGACTGGCCCAAGTTCAAGTCCTGCCCAGCCACAATCCACCGGGCAAGTTCCCTGGCTGCACCTGCTCCTCCCGCCGAGGGGTGTTAGGGCTCTAAATGCGCCACAGAATCAAGGTGAGCAAGCGATCACGTGGCTTTGTTCTCTGTCCCCCACAGATGACGTGGCCCCCTATTTCAAGACGGAGCCGGTGCGGACGCAGGTGCACCTCGAGGGGAACCGCCTGGTGCTCACCTGCATGGCTGAGGGCAGCTGGCCGCTGGAGTTCAAGTGGCTGCACAACAGCCGGGAGCTGACCAAGTTCTCCCTGGAGTACAGGCAAGCACCCGCCCCTACCTCCCTTCCCTTCCTCCCGCTGCCAGGGGCCTGCCACGCCCCGAAAGGGTGCCAGGTTGGGGGCCTGGGCAGTTTGGGGGCGGGGACTCCCGATCCAGTGCAACTGGGAGGCTGGGCTGTCAGAATTGGGGGCCAAAGATGGCCCTGCCCAGGGGTGAGAAAACCGTGCCCTTCTGAGCCCATAGAGGGTGGCTGGGAGGTGGGCCAGGGTGCTGCCCGGATGGGTGGCCCATGCAGCAGTGGGTGGGCAGAGGCGGTGATGGGGGTGGTGGGGGTTGGGGTGCTTTCTACCAGCAGCGAACTATTGCCCTGGCTGTGAGCTGAGCCCTCTCTCTCCTCCCCACGGAGAAGAACCTATCTGGGGCACCAGAGGTAGGGCCTGGGTTCCACAGAGGGGTGCGGCCTGAGGCAGCCTGGGTCAATAAGAGCACAGCTATTTGGGGGACCTGTTGAGGAGGGGGCAGGGAGGTGGCTCGTCCAGGGTCTTCAGTTATCTCCACTCCCTTCTTGTGGCCTCACTCTGAGCCCTGGGCTGGGCTGACCCTCCCCTTCCAGGACGCTGCCAAGTGGGGGCGAAGGAGAGGATGGAGAGAGAGCAGGGTCTCAGACGAGGGTTTGTGGCTACCAGTAGAAGGGGTCCTGGAGGCAGCTACCCCCAGCCCAGCTGGCCTGCAGCCCTCCCCAGGCGCTCTCTCAGTCTTCCTCTCCTCCCCTCCTGTCTGCTCCCGTCACTGGGGCTTTCGATTAATCCCGGCCTGATGTGTATAATTGGTTTTGTTGAGGAAACAAGATTGCCTTGCCCTGGGGATGTTGATACAAATCTGCCGCTGGGGACAGGAATGCAAATGAGAGGAGGGGTTAATTGTTTGAGGAGCTGTCCTTTCCAGGAGAACTCTCCTTTTCTTCACACAGAGGGAGCCCAGGGCCCGGGGTGACTTCCAGGGTCCTCTGCCCCCACCCTGGCCTGCACTGGTCCCTGGGTGTGGCCACTTTGGGAAAGGAGGGAGCAGGAGGGCCACCTTCCCCTCTGGGTGGTGAGAGGGGGACCAGGAAGCAGGCGGCCCCCATTGCTGGCCGCTGGGGGCCTCCGGTCTCCAGGGTGCCCACGAGGAGACTTGGGAACCCCCTCTGAGCAGCCCCTGCCAGGGTTTTGGGTTGGGGACCAGAGGCACTCCTGGCCACAGCCTGGCAGCAAGGGGCAGTGTGGCAGCCTCTGTGAGGAGCCCCTGCCCCCTCTCAAGTGTTGGGCATACCTGAATGGCACACAGGTGGCACACCGTGGGTGTCAGTGGTGCCTGGAGCCTCCCAGCCCGCCCTTGACTGCCACCGGCCGAGAGCTGGAGGCAGGATCTAGGAGGGAAGTGGTTCTTTACCTGGTTCCCAGCTACTCTTTTGGTGCCTGGGAACTGTAAGGACCCGAGGGCGGGCACTACACGGAAGCCGGTTCCAGCTCAGTGTATGGGTCAGGCATCCCAGCCACGGAAGGGGCTTCCTTTGGAAACAGTAGGATGGTCCCGATGATAATCCTGATCATTGGCAGCGAAGCAGAACTTACATGGCAGAGGTTATGATGTGATGATCTCCTTTACTCCTGCAAGCAGTCCCAGGTTCCCCATTCTACAGATGAGCACACCGAGGCTTCGAGAGCTTAAGCAATGTCCCCAAGGCCAGACTGTTGAGCTGGGCTTTGACTAGCAGTCGTCTGAATCCCTGAGCTAGAGCTCTTTACCACCCAGCACTGCCTCTCATTGAAGAAGGATCGCTTCCTTAAGGTGCACCCTCAGCCATCTCTCTCCAAGTTCTAGAAAGCTCAGCAGGGGGAGAAGGCAAATAGGAGCTTGGTTGGGTGGAAGTTCCTCTGGGGACACAAATGAGCTTCCACTAGGGCAGGGTGGGACCGTTTTTCCTCCCAAGGCCATTTAGATATTTATCACATCATTCGTGGGCCACACAGAATTACCAACTTAAAAATGAGCCTGCTGTAAAATTACCCTGATGCCTTGGTAGGGCCAGACCAAATGATTTCTGTCTGTGGGCCGGACGTTCCCCACCCCTGCACTAGGGGGGCTCGTCCCCAGCCTCCTCACCCCAAGAAGGCTGGCTGAGGAGTGCTAATGGCCAGGCCTCCCGCGGGGGTCTACTCCAGGCCATAGGACACTGTGTGGCAGCCCCACACTGGAGCCCATGGTGGGGAAGGAGGGTGAGAGCAGTTAGCAGAGGGGGGAACAGAAGCCACTGTGTCCCTTTCACCTCCTCTGCCCCCAGGGAGAGCCTGGCTCACAGCAGGTGCTTTTCCTTTCTTTCTCTTCTTTTAATTTTGCAAATTTTCTAATCTTAGAAAAACTGTAAGTGTAGCACCATAAATACCTGTATACATTTTACCGTTCACCAACTGTTAAGAACTTACACCTGTGCTCTCTCTTCTCTTCTCCCTCCATGCACACACATATGAATGTACTTTTTTGCTGAGTTGTTTAAGAATGAATTGCTCCCGGCTGGTGTGGCTCAGTGATTGAGCTTTGACCCATAAACCAGGGTTTGATTCCCTGCCAGGGCTCATGCCTGGGTTGTGGGCTCGATCCCTAGTAGAGGATGTGCAGGAGGCAGCCGATTGATGATTCTCTCCTATCTTTGACTAGAGACCCGGTGCACGAAATTCATACATGGGTAGGGTCCCTAGGCCTGGCCTGCAATCAGGGCCAATCAAGTTCCCCGCCTCCCTGCCTCCTCCTTCCCTCACTCCCTCAGCGCCCCGCCGCCGCCACTGGTCACCCGCCATGTTCCGCGCCACCCCCTGGTGGTCAGTGCACATCATAGCGCATAATCGAACTCCCGGTCTCCCAGTTCAACTCCTGAGGGGACACTTTGCAAATTAGCCTTTTATATAGAGAGATGTTTCTATCTCTCCCTCTCCCTTCCTCTATGAAATCAATAAAAACATTTTTTTAAAAGTAATGAGTTGCTGACACGATGTCCCTTTAATCCTGAGTAGGATTGCTAGGTATAAGCCATTCTTCTGAAGAACCACCGTACAATTTTCACCCCAGAAAGACTTCACATTGATACCGTGCTACTAGCTCACACACAGCCCAGATTTCTCCATTTGTCCCACTTACGTCCTTTGTGGTTATTTTTAGTGTTGTTGTTTGCTACAGAATCTAACCCGCGTTGCACTTAGCTGCCGTGTCTCTTAGACTTCAGACTCCTTAAACCCGGAACTGTTCCTCCTTCTTTATCCTCTGTCACAGCGTTGACATTGAGAGTTCAGGTGGTTTTGTCCTTCAGTGTGGATTTGTGATGTCCAACCTTTTGGGCCAGAATGCGTCCTCTCATTGTTCACACTTGAAGGCACCCGTGTCATTTTGCCCCATTATTGGTGACGGTAGATTTGCTTCAACTGGTCAAGGTGACGTCCACCGGATGTCTCCATCGTGAAAGTATTAAGGTGTGTTCCCCGCTCTGGCGGACAGCTTAAGACTGTGCGAATCATCTCCTCTCCAGGAATCTCCCATCCGGGTCCCGTAGCCACCGATGCGTCTTACCTGGGTCCGTTCTCACCGCCGCTTCCTGCGGTTGAATAAGCAGATTTTCTATTTCTGTCATTGCTTTCCCTCCTAGGAGCTGGCATTCTTTTATAAGGAAAGATCTGTGCTTTCTCACAACTTAGCATCAGTATAAGCTCACGGGTCATTGTTCCTCCTTGGTGTGTTCTAGTCCAGCCCTGTCATTATTCACTTGGGCTCACACCGCAACCCAAACTTGGCCAGTGGGCTTCCTCCCGCTGGGTGCTGGCTCCTTTGGACGTGTCCACATTGGATTTCTTGCTCTTTCTTGCCTTGTTGGCTCGACAACGTGTTGCCCATTCAGCTTTTAAATAAATTCATCCTGAAAAGCCCCTGCGTAGGTCGGCCAGCTCCTCATCCTGCTCGCTGCTGAGAACTTCCTGGCGTCAGGTCAGGTGACCATATCCAATTTTCAGGCAGAAAGATGGCTGAACGCACTCAGATAGGAAGGGCTGCCGTAAGTTTAGCTGTGTTTCCCACCCGGTCGCCAAAGGAAGAAGTTTGCATGCATGTCCAGCTCTGAAGGTCTTTATCCACAGTGGGGTCTGTAACAGATAGGTCTGTGTGTGTGCACGTGTGTGTGTGTGTGTGTGTGCGTGCGTGCATGTGTGTGTGTGACATGTCTGCACAAAGGAAATCCTATGCATCCGCCCGAGTACCAGTGGCTGCGGCGTGCTTGTGGGTCCACAGCCACCCGTGGGAGCAGGTGGGAGTAGATGGACTCTGAGCGCGGGCCACCTGAGCGCGGTCACGCTGCCACCCCTCACCCGTCTGTGGCTCTGGCAGGATCACTTAGCCACCTGCCTTTGCTTCCTCGCCTGGGAATCAGGCACAGTCAGGCCTGCTTTAGAGGCTTAGAGGGAGGATTAAATGGTCTGTGAGAGAGCCCCGTCCCCGGCGCAGCAGACATGCAATAGCTGGTCCCTGTTGGGATTATGTAAGATGCCGGGCTTAGAGGAGAGTGGGGACTAATCCGGTAACAGACCCACCAGCTCTCACGTGCAGGTGAGCGGATCCGCTCCCAAGTGGTCACGGGAGCTCTGCACACCTGTGCCAGTGACTGCAACCCAGGACCCTTCATAGAACTCCTCTTGCCCCTTGTTGGTGACGTGCTTTATCCATTTGGAAACCGGCCTTGAAATTCCAGTTTGGGGCTGTGACTGCTGGGGATACCACTTGGGTACAAAACATTTAATTCTAAAAAGAGAGAGAGATTTATTTTCCCAGGTGGGTGGGATGGTGCCTGGGGAAACCCTCCCAAAGGTGTGGGCATTGTCCCCACTGCCCTCCATGCCAGGTGGGACAGGCACACAGCCTCCTGGGACCAATGGTGTGTGCTGGGGTGTAGGGGGAGGTTGGACACAATGCTCAGTCAGAGATATTTGGTCTGATGTGTTTGTTAGAGAGAGAGAGAGAGAG